GAATGCATTGCATTCTATTTCCTCCTTTAGTTCTGTTAGTATTTGTTTCACATATGCTGGTGCTCCTGTGTTGGGTGCATATATATATTTATAATGGTTATATCCTCTTGTTGGATTGAGCACTTTATCATTATGTAATGTCCTTCTTTATCTCCTGTTACTTTCTTTGTTTTGAAGTCTATTTTGTCTTATACTGGTACTGCATCACCTGCTTTTTTTCTCCCTGTTGTTTGCATGAAATATCTTTTTCCATCCCTTGACTTTTAGTCTGTGCATGTCTTTTGGTTTGAGGTGAGTATCCTGTAAGCAGCATATAGATGGGTCTTGCTTTTTTATCCATTCTGTTACTCTGTGTCTTTTGATTGGTACATTCAGTCCATTTACATTTAGGGTGACTATTGAAAGATATGTACTTATTACCATTTCAGGCTTTAGATTCGTGGTTACCAAAGGTTCAAGGTTAGCTTCTTTAGTATCTTACTGTCTAACTTAACTCGCTTATTGAGCTGTTATAAACACTGTCTGGTGATTCTTTATTTCTCTCTCTTCTTATTCCTCCTACTCCATTCTTTATATGTTGGTTGTTTTATTCTGTACTCTTTTGTGTTTCCTTTAACTGCCTTTGTGGGTAGTTGATTTTATTTTTTGCCTTTAGTTAGTATTTGGTTGGTCTGCTTTCTTTGCTGCGATTTTATTTTCTCTGGTGACATCTATTTAGTCTTAGGAGTGCTCCCATCTAGAACATTCCCTATAAAATACCCTGTAGAGGTGGTTTTTGGGAGGCAAATTCCCTCAACTTTTGCTTGTCTGGGAATTGTTTAATCTCTCCTTCATATTTAAATGATAATTGTGCTGGATACAGTATTCTTAGTTCAAGGCCTTCTGTTTCATTGCATTAAATATGTCATGCCATTGTCTTCTGGCCTGTAAGTTTTCTGTTGAGAAGTCTGATGATAGCCTGATGGGTTTTCCTTTGTAGGTAACCTTTTTCCTCTCTCTAGCTGACTTTAAAACTCTGTCCTTGTCCTTGATCTTTGCCATTTTAATTATTATGTGTCTTGGTGTTGTCCTCCTTGGCTCCCTTCTGTTTAGAGTTCTGTGTACTTCCATGGTCTGATCAATTATTTCCTCCCCCAGTTTGGGGGAGTTTTCAGAAATTATTTCTTCAAATACCCTTTCTATCCCTTTTTTCTCTCTCTTCTTCTTCTGGTATCCCTATAATGCAGACATTGTTCCTTTTGGATTGGTCACAGTTTTCTTAATATTGTTTCATTCCTGGAGATCTCTCTCTGTGTCAGCTTCTATATGTTCCTGTTCTCTAGTTTCTATTCCATCAGTGGCCTCTTGCATCTTATCCATTCTGCTTATAAATCCTTCCAGAGATTGTTTCATTTCTGTAATCTCCCTCCAAACATCATCCCTTAGCTCTTGCATATTTCTCTGCAGCTCCGTCAGCATGTTATGACCTTTATTTTTAATTCTTTTTCCGGGAGATTGGTTAGGTCTATCTCCTTCTCATGGGTTGACTGTGTGATTTTGGTCTATATCAAATTCTTCTGCCTTTTCATGTCGATAGAGATATTTTGCGGAGCTGGTGCATGTGATGGCTGGGAGAACATCCCTTCTTGCTGGTTTGTGGCCTTCCTTTTCTGGGAGAACAGCGACCTCTAGCGACTTGTGCTGGGCAGCTGCACGCAAATGGGACTTCTGTTTCTTGCCCGGCCACTGTGGAGTTTAGCTCTGCTGTTGCTGTGGGTGTGGCCTGCCTCAGGCTGCTGCTCCAATATGGCGGAGCCACGTCAGAGGGGAAATGGCTGGGAGTCTTTTTATCTCCATGAGGGACCTCTGAGCTGCACTGCTGCCCAGTGGGTTAGGGCATCCGGAGTTCCCCGGGATTTCCAGTTGCTGGGCTAAGTGTCCTGGGAAGTTTCTGTCCAGCTGTAGGGTCACTGTCCCTTTAAGACTTTCAAAAAGCACTTGCTTTTCTTTGTCCCAGGGGCACCGGCTGCAGGGACCCGCTCATAGGTCTTACTGTCCTGTTTCCCTAGTAACCAGCATACCACTCACTGTGTGTCTGTGCTCTGGTGTGGATGGCTAGGGCTGGCTATTTAGCAGTCCTGGGCTCCCTCTCCCTCCCCGCTACGACGCCTCTCCTCCTGCTGGGAGCTGAGGTGGGGGGCCCTCAGGTCCCGCCGGGCCGCGGCTTGTATCTTACCCCCTTTGCTGGGTTCTCGCAGGTGTGGATATAGTCTGGCTATTGTTCTGTGTCTTCTGGTCTTTCTTTTAGGAAGAGTTATATTTGTTGTATTTTCACAAATATGTATTGTTTCTGAGGAGATTTCCGCTGCTCTACTCATACTGCCATCTTGATTCTGCCCCTGAACATTGATTCTAATGGAAGTTTTTAAAAATTTATATTGGTGTTCAGGGGCATATTCAAGTTGATTAATGAATTGTGCATTTCACTTGTGAGTTTTGCTGATTTATTATTAATTACTGTGAATTCAGAGGCCCCTAAGGGGTTGCCTTTTTCTATTTCTGTTTATCGTGCTCTTACTAAAGGAAAATCCCTGGTTAGGAAATGCCAGTGGTTTTTAGCTATTTCTCAGGCAAATCAAGTGGAGTTTAGTGGAATCCTACTTGTGTACCCATGAACCCATCCAAACAGTCAAGTAGCCTTTGGGCCACCCATTCCCCAAGTCTGTATTGAACACGTACGTTGTCACCCTCCTGCAGAATGGCAAAGCCACACACACCCAGTGCTAATGGAAGGGCATGGATTGCCCCTGGCATGTCATAGTGATGCAATCATCCAACCTTCCACAGGTGTGAACTGGAATGAGATACCAGCAGAAACGATGCATTGGCCAGGAGAATATGTCAGGCATTTGTCAATTAAGTGGGAAGTAGTAATTTAGAAGAGAAAGATAGAATCAGAGGGCTGTCCTCAGGGCAGTCAATGCATTGAAGAAAGACAGTGAAGACTACAGGTGATTAATCACCAAGTGAAGGCTATGTGTGAAAGCTGTTGCCAAACAGGAAAAATATGAGGATCAGGCTCAGAATTTAATTATAAGAGTAGCAATGTCTCGGAGGGTGTGGAATTCTCAGTTTTTTCGAGTTGCTACTCCAAGGTCAGGGCCTTGAGTGGAGCAGAGTGAAATCCTGAGTCGTGCAGGGGACATCTGGGCCAATAAAGTCTTGTTCCTCTCTATACCTCTGAGCTTTCCAGGCACATAGAAGTCAGCTGTTCCTCTCTGCTACAGGCTGGCACTCCCTCTTACTTAAGGATGTTGCTGCTAAGCCAATAAGTTGAGTCATGACACGACCTGGCTGGAGAAGTGGTGGGTGGGCAGGGCCTGTGCCCTGCAGGAGCCATGAGACCTCAGCAGCTTTACTAACAGGAGCTGGGGTGTACATGTGGGAATGAATTCTGAGGCTCTGGGTCACAGAGGACATGAAGTTGGATGATGGAAGTTCATCCATATGGGACCATGTTCTCATGATACAGAATTTGATATATTGGTAAAGGTAACAGTTGATGGTTCTAATATGCTGCTAGGATGGTCTTGGAAGCTTGGAAAAAGTGATTGTTCATGTTAACTGAAGTAGAAATGTCAGAAATGCTAAGGCAGACAGTGAAATAAGGGCTCAAAAGGCTCAGAGAAAGCATGCTAGAGTGGAAATATTAATGCTGAAAAGTCCACCACTGATTGTATTAGATGGGCAGGTCTGAGAACACTGTTTCCCAAAGTAATAAGGTACTTTCTGAGGAGGGGGCACCAGCACCATGGAGAAGCTTGGTGGTGAGTGTTCTCCTCAGGCCAGGGCTAACATTAGCTGCCACTGCTTTAGAACTGAGTTCTCTTATAAAAGTGGAGATGGTAGAATCCCAAAATAATAGAGACCAGCACTTACCTATCAGCAGCAAGATGGGAATCATGCCTATCATTGTAATGGCAGGCAAGGCCAGAGTGATAGCCTTGGGGACCAGACCCTCAGGGAGCTACGGAGTTGGTTAACAGATCACAGTATACTTTGGGGAAGATAGACAGGCACCAAGGAGATTGCTCAGTATAAACAACCAAGGAAGGATAACCAGGAGACTGAGGTCAGCTGCCAACAATTAAAAAATCACAATCTTTTGTCTACTTTCCAGACATGAGCCAGTTTTCAGATCCAGAACTGACTGAAGAAGAGGCCAGATCTCCACCAAGGAAGGACCCTGTAGCACCATGGCGAGGTTGTATGGCAATAAATATCCTAATCCTCCTCCAAATGAGCTGTTGCCGTTTATGTGGGTAACTACTGGAGAAAGGGGAATGTTCTGACATTTCAGTGAATGCTCTATACCAGGTCAGAATTACAATAGATTCTTTGGAACCCAAAGTGTTATTAGGCTGTCTGTAAGCCTGGGGGGTAAACAGAAGCCAGGTAATAAATACAGCCCTGGACCAGGTCTGGCTCATAGCATCTACTATAGAAGAGGCACTAAATGACCAAGTAGGCAGAATGACTTGGCTAGCTGAGGTCAGCTAGCCTTTTCACTGGTCCCCCTGGTGCTAGCACAATGGGTACATGAATGGAGTAGCCTTTCTAGCAGGATGGAGGTCGCATGGGTAAAACTGCATGGACTCTCACTCACCAAGGCTGATACAGAGACTGCTGCTGCTGAATGCCCAGTATTCCAGCAACAGAGATCAGCGTTAAGCTCCTGATAGGTCATCATCTCTTGAGAATACCGACCAGCCACTTGGTGGCAAGTTGATTACCTTAGACCCCTTCCCTGGAAGGTAGAGTGATTCATCTTTCCTGCAGTAGACACATGTGCCAGGTATGGGTTTGTCTTTCCCGCCTTTAGGGTCTCAGCCAGCACCACTATCTGAGGGGTTCGTTGTTTGATCCACCAACATAGGATCCCACATAAAATGGCCAAGTACCAGGTAACCAGAAGGACAGCAGAGTAGATGCAGCAGTGGTTATGTGGTTATGGGATCCATTGTTCCCATAACATACTGCATTACTCAGGAGCTGTGAGGTTGAGAGAGCATGGAGTCATCTTTAGAAGTTACAGCTGAGGCATTAACTTGGAGGTGGTACCCTGTGAGGATGGAACACTATCCTCCAGAAGGCAGAATACATCCTAAGTGAATAAACCATTATATGATACCTTGTATCCAACAGGCAGAATATACTGGCCTGGAAACCAAAGAGTGGAACCAGAAATGGCTCCACTTACCATTTCCTTCCAAGTTGTACCTTTAAAACCATCAGCAGTTAATGTGATTATTGATATGGTTGGGTTTAAATCCACCATCTTCCTATTTTTATTTGTCCCATCTGGTTTTGTTCTACCTTTCCTCTTTTTTTTGTACTTTTTTTGGGGGGGGAATCAGTTAGTATTTTTCATGATTCCATTCTATTTACTTTATTGGCATACTAACTATAACACTTTGCCTTTTATTTTAGTGTTTGTTTTAGGGTTTATAGTATATGTCTTTAACTTGTCCCAATCTACTTTCAAATAATCTTTTACCATTTGGAGATTACAACTTAACAACAGTTTACTTCCAGTCTTCCCGTCCATCCTTTGTGATCTTGTTGTCATACATTTTATTTGTAGGTGTGCTATAAACAACAGAATACATTATTTTTGCTTTAAATAGTCAACTCTCTCATAAAGAGATTTAAATAAGTAAAAGGTTTTATATTTACTGTGGTAAGAAGAATTCACACAGGGAGTCAGGATAATCTTCTCTTGAGTGTGGATGGGATTTGTGAATCTAATGGATTTCACTCTGTGATCAGGTCACTAATCAATTAGCCTTGAGTTAAGTAAAATAGAGATTATTCTAGATGGGCGTAATTTAATCAAGTGACCCTTTAAAAGATGGTCAAGGGGTCAAAGACTGGAAGTGAGAGAGATTTCCCTTGCTGACCTTTTTTTTAAATTTTGGTATCATTAATGTACATTTACATGAGCAACATTATGGTTACTAGACTCCCCCCATTATCAAGTCCCCACCACATACTCCATTACAGCCACTGTCCATCAGACTAGTAAGGTGTTACTGAATCGCTACTTGTCTTCTCTGTGCTGTACTGCCTTCCCCGTGTCCCCCTCCCCCTACATTATGTGTGCTAATTGTAATGCCCCTTGTTCCTCCTTCTCTTTCCCTTCCCACCCATCCTCCCCAGTCTCTTTCCCTTTGGTAACTGTTAGTCCATTGTCGAGTTCTGTGAGTCTGCTGCTGTTTTTTTCCTTCAGTTTTTTCTTTGTTCTTATACTCCACACATGAGGGAAATCATTTGATACTTGTCTTTCTCTGTCTGGCTTATTTCACTGAGCATAATACCCTCTAGCTCCATCCATGTTGTTGCAAATGGTAGGATTTCTTTCTTCTTATGGCTGAATAATATTCCATTGTGTATATGTACCACATCTTCTTTATCCATTCATCTACTGATGGACACTTAGGTTGCTTCCATTTCTTGACTAGTGCTGCGATAAACATAGGGGTGCATATGTCTTTTTCAAACTGGGATGCTGCATTCTTAAATTCCTAGGAGAGGAATTCCTGGGTCAAATCGTATTTCTATTTGTAGTTTTTTGAGGAACCTCAATACTGCTTTCCGCAATGGTTGAACTAATTTACATTCCCACCAGCAGTATAAGAGGGTTCCCCTTTCTCCACACCCTCGCCAACATTTGTTGTTGTTTGTCTTTTGGATGGTGGCCATCCTAAATGGTGTGAGGTGGTATCGCATTGTGGTTTTAATTTGCATTTCTCTGATGACTAGCGATGTGGAGCATTTTTTCATGTGTCTATTGGCCATCTGAATTTCTTCTTTGGAGAATTGTCTGTACTTATCCTCTGCCCATTTTTTAATTGGCTTATTTGCTCTTTGTTTGTTGAGGAGAGGGGGCTCTTTATATAATTGGATGTCAACCCTCTATTGGATATGTCATTTATGAATATATTCTCCAATACTGTTAGGATGCCTTTTTATTCTATTGATGGTGTATTTTGCTGTACAGAAGCTTTTCAGCTTGATATAGTCCCACTTGTTCATTTTTGCTTTTGTTTCCCTTGCCCAGGGAGATATGTTCATGAAGAAGTTGCTCATGTTTATGTCCAAGAGATTTTTGCCTATGTTGTCTTCTAAGAGTTTTATGGTTTCATGACTTACATTCAGGTCTTTGATCCATTTCAAATTTACTTTTGTGTATGGGGTTAGGCAATGATCCAGTTTCATTCTCTTACATGTAGCTGTCTAGTTTTGCCAACATCAGCTGTTGAAGAGGCTATCCTTTCCCCATTGTATATCCTTGGCTCCTTTATCATTTATTAATTGACCATATATGTTTGGGTTAAAATCTGGAGTCTCTATTCTGTTCCACTGGTCTGTGGCTCTGTTCTTGTGCCACTACTAAATTGTCTTGATTACTGTGGCTTTGTAGTCAAGCTTGAAGTTGAGAAGCGAGATCCCCATGCTTTATTCTTTCTTCCCAGGATTGCTTTGGCTATTCAGGGTCTTTTGTGGTTCCATATGAATTTTAGAACTATTTATTCCAGTTCATTGAAGAATGCTGTTGTTATTTTGATAGCGATTGCATTGAATCTGTAGATTGCTTTAGGCAGGATGACCATTTTGACAGTATTAATTCTTCCTACCCAAAAGCATGGGTTGAATTTCCATTTGTTAGTGTCCTCTTTAATTTCTCTTAAGAGCGTCTTGTAGTTTTCAGGGTACAGGTCTTTCACTTCCTTGGTTAGGTTTATTCCTAGGTATTTTATTCTTTTTGATGCAATTGTGAATGAAATTTTTCCCTGATTTCTCTTTCTGCTAGTTCATCGTTAGTGTATAGGAAAGCAACAGATTTCTGTGTATTATTTGTATCCTGCAACTTTGCTGAATTCAGATATTAGTTATAGTAGTTTTGGAGTGGAGTCTTTGGGGTTTTTTATGAGCAATATCATGTCATCTGCAAATAGTGACAGTTTGACCTCTTCCTTACCAATATGGGTGTCTTTTATTTATTTGTTTTGTCTGATTTTGGCTAGGACCTCCAATACTTTGTATGTTGAATAAGTGGGGAGTGTGGGCATCCCTGTCTTGTTACCAATCTTAGGTGAAAAGCTTTCAGCTTCTTGCTGTTAAGTATGATGTCAACTGTGGGTTTGTCATATATGGCCTTTATTATGTTGAGGTACTTGCCCTGCATACCTATTTTGTTGAGAGTTTTTATCATGAATGGATGTTGAATTTTGTCAGATGCTTTTTCAGCATCTATGGAGATGATCATGTGATTTTTATCCTTCTTTTTGTTGATGTGGTGGATGATGTTGATAGATTTTCGAATGTTGTACCATCCTTGCATCCCTGAGATGAATCTCACTTGATCATGGTGTATGATCATCTTGATGTATTTTTGAATTCGGTTTGGTAGTACTTTGTTGAATATTTTTGCATCTATGTTCATTAGGGATATTGGTCTGTAATTTTCTTTTTTGTGGTGTCTTTGCCTGGTTTTTGTGTTAAAGTGATGCTGGCTTCATAGAATGAGTTTGGAAGTATTCCCTCTTCTTCTATTTTTTGGAAAACTTTAAGGAGGATGGGTATTATACCTTCTCTAAATGTCTGATAAAATTCAACGGTAAATCCATCTGGCCCAGGAGTTTTGTTCTTGGGTAGTTTTTTTATTACTGATTCAATTTCTTTGCTGGTAATTGGTCTGTTTAGACTTTCTGTTTCTTCCTTGGTCAGTCTTGGAAGGTTGTGTTTTTCTAGGAAGTTGTCCATTTCTTCTAGGTTATCCAGCTTGTTAGCCTATAGATTTTCATAGTATTCTCTAATAATTCTCTGTATTTCTGTGGGGTCCGTCATGATTTTTCCTTCCTCATTTCTGATTCTGTTTACGTGTATAGATTCTCTTTTTCACTTATAAGTCTGCCTAGGGGTTTTATCTATTTTCTTGATTTTCTCAAAGAACCAGCTCTTGGTTCCATTGATTTTTTCTGTTGTTTTATTCTTCTCAATTTTATTTACTTCTTCTCTGATCTTTATTATGTCCCTCCTTCTGCTGACTTTGGGCCTCATTGGTTCTTTTTTTTTCCAGTTTCAATAATTGTGACTTTAGACTAATCATTTGTGATTGTTCTTCCTTGTTTAAATAGGCCTGGATTGCTATGTGCTTTCCTCTTAGAACTGTCTGTGCTGCGCCCCACAGAAGTTGCGGCT